CGTTCCCAGGGCCCCCCCAGACCTGCTGCATGGCCTCAAGGAAGTGTCTGACTCTCTCTGAGCCTCCGTGGTCTCCCTGTGGACACTGGCCATGGGTGCCTTCCTCATTAGGCTGTGAGGATGAAATGGGACACGGTCACGTGATGTAAAGTAAGACTGGATGTATGACGCTAATTCACCTAATCATCTTTACTCTTTTGAACCGATCCCAATACCCTCGCGGACTCCCAGAGGACAGGGTATTCGCCCTCCACCCCCGCTCACTGCACACTTGCTGGCACAGAGCCTGGCGCCCGAAGCAACATCCGCGCGAGGTGCTCACCTGGCCCCCGTCCCCCAGCTTCAGGCTGTCCGCAGATCGGAGTGAGACCGGGCAGGCTCTGCGGGAAGAGGCGTCTGCGCGAGGGGTGCGCCCTGCAGCGTGGTCTCCCCGCGCCCTGGCTCAGCCTCCAGCTCTTCTGCATCAGAAACTGAAGGTTGAGAGGGCCCAGCTGTGTGCAGACTGTCTTTGTTTAGGCCCAGAGCCAGTTCTACCCCAAGTGGAATGAGAGATGCAGTTCCTGAGCCCTGATGAAATTAATTACGGGGAACCTGACAGGAAGATAGATGGAGGTGTCAGGTCTGCGAGAAGCCAGCCCAGCTCCACGTGCAGAGAGCTCCCCTCAGGGCCCTCCGGGGGCTGTGCTGGGGACTCCAGCGGCTCGGCTCTAGCCAAGTGCGTCAGGATGGACAGGGTCCGGGCTGCCGACTCTGTCACCCAAGAAAAACGAAATGGGGAGTGTTGACATCTGATGTGGTGTCCTCTGCAACCCTGTGCAGCCCACATCATGCAGATGCAGGCCGGAGTGAGCTGACAGGTCACCGTCTTGTGACCCCGTCCTACAGGCTCTGAGAAATGGGGGCCCCTCACCATGGAAACCAGGGTCTCCGAAGAGCCAGCCAGTGACCCCCAGGTGAGGTAGCTCAGGGAGGAAATCGCTTCAGGGCCCGACGGCTCTGTGCCTGCCTCGTGTTCTCTTCTGGGGATTCTGCCCAAACTGAAGCTTTTCAGCTTCACCGAGTTCAGCTCCTCACCCTGGGGAATTCCAGCATGTTCCATCAATCACCTGGTTCCCTCCTGAGCTGGGTGCCAAGAGAGCATCATCCAAGTTCCATCCTCCTGAGCCACCGGAAGCTGAGCTGCAGTCACCCGGTGGAGGGTGGTAATGGGGGCGGGCAGGGAGCCGTAGGAAGCCCAAGGTCAGTGAGCACTTTGCTAGAAATCCTCAGGCTTTCCACAGACCTTGTTTAGAGGGACATGTAGGGGGGTTTCTGGGGTCTCCAACAAGAAAGTGATAGGCAGCATTTATGATACAGTTCCAGGCACAGGGAGGGGATGGGTGGGCTAATGGGGCTCAGAGGGCTGTGCCTTCGTCCACTCGTCCTTCACTTCTCTTTGTTCCTCTTATGAAACTAACCGGCCTGTCCAAATTCCACGGGTCCCAATCCATGTGTGTTTATCTGCTCTTAGTCACAGCTGTGCTGCATCCAATGAGCCCTTGCAGGAAACACAGGGAAATTAATGCGGTGGGTAAGCAGCTCCTGCTAATGGCAGAGCACGTCCACATTTGGATGAGAGAGAGACACCCCCACAGCTTTTGGCAAGAGGCTCGTGTGAGGAGTTCAGGTGTCAGCCAGGTGAAAACTCTCTTCCCCAAACATCAAGTCAACAAGACGCAGATGCCAGAGACACTTGTGGCCATAAGCATGTCAACAGAAATCAGGTACCTGACTGTTGCCTAAACTGACCGTGCCTGATTGTTCCAGGCAGACTGTCATTCTGCCAAATTAGAAAAGTAATCACAATGTGAGTGTCCCAAGTGATGAAGGCCACCCCGACCCCCAAACCATGAGGAGGATCAGCAGTGGCCTTCCCGCGCACTGTTTGCTGGGCGAGATTAAAGCTGCTTGTTCCTACAGAAACACCTAGATTCTACTCACCAGACCCAGAGGCAGGGAAAGAACTCAGCGCTCGGTGCCACCAGTCACAACACCAGTGTGTAAGACAGCGGTTCTGCAGACTATCCTGCTCGCAGTCTGTGATCAGTCCAAGCAGACACCGTGGTCTAGGACAGACGCTAGCATGTGCAGACCCACTCAGCCCCTCAGCACCGGCGCTGCCTTCTGTGTCAGAGCTTCCATGGGGTTCTGGAACTGGTCCCCTGCGGCCCTCATCTGTCAATGTTGAGGTTATGGCTATGGGACAGAGGCTATGGTGAGGCTTCCCCAAAGACTCCCTCTGGGTGGGCTACTGACATGGGGAGTAGAACCAGGGAACAATGGGGAGGCTGACTTTGTCCGCAGTCTACCAGCCTCTGCTCAGAAGCCAGCTCTCAGCCAAGCCAGGGAGGCCCCCAGAACCAGACTCCCCTCCCGTGGGCTCTGACGATGCCTCAGCACTGTGCACCTTCCCAGTCCTTCCAGGCGACAGGGCACTGCAGTGCTTGGGAGGTGCATCATGCGCAGCTGGGAGCTGTATCTCCCAGGAACCGTGCACCATTCCGACCAACCCGATGCAGGTAAACGAGCGGATTCCCAGGCAGCGGGTTCCTTTAAGGGGTGAACTGGGCCCTCCCTGATCTTCTGCCAGGAATGGAGCTGTGATGGGGGAGCTGGTGCAGCCCCCTGGTAACCACAGAGCTGCACGGGTGCCCAAACCACATGCCATGGCAAGTCCTGAGGGCTCCTCGGGCTGCCACCCCAGCCCGGCCTTCCTCGGGTCTGCCGGGGAGGAAAGTAAATTCTCATTGGGCCAGGCTCTTGGCTGTCTCTGGTGTTTCTTGCAGCTGAACACAATCCTTAACAAGTAGAGAAAACACACCCTTCTCCCCCTTCTACCCCCAAATGCCTGTTTCCAGGAATGATTGAGAGGGAAGGCAATCGCAAGTTGAATGTCAGACTTTGACAGAACTTAACACTTACGTACCAGGTTAAGGAGAACTGGTCATCCCTTCATCTCATGAGATGCCCCTCCAGACACCTGCCCCGGGAGAAAGGGTGCTGCCCGAGGAGAGCGTGAGGGTGGGGCTAGCAGCAAGGACAGCAATGGTGACACCCCACTCTGCCCTGAGCACTCGGGCCTGAGCGTGGCACATACACTGGCTCACGTGGGCCCTGGCCCTCAGGGCGGGGCCTCATGGCGCTCTTCTCCCCCGAGGCCGAGCAGCAGGGCCGGGGTGCACGCGGGAGTCCAGCAGAGAGTCCCTCCACGGGATGTGCTTATGGGAGCCACCCCCTCGGCACAGTGAGGACTCTGTCCTGGGGGTCCCGGCTGCGAGATGAGGGCCCTGCCTTCCGGGGGGGTGTCTGTGCACTGAGCAGGGGCGGCAAGGGGGCGTTGGAAAGGAGCAGTTCCACCAGGTTCAGAAGTCAAATCACCACCCCAAACCGAAGCCCATCCTTCACTTGGATGCCGAGGCTAGACCGGTCCAGTGGGCTGGGGCTGATGGGGTGTCAGACCGTCGCGCTCTCCGCCACGCGTCTGTCCGCATCTCCGGCAGCTGAGCTGGTCAGGAGGGCAGGGCCCTGATGAATGGGACTGCAGCCTTATGGAAGGGGCCCCCAGGGCTCCTGGTCCCCTTCCACCACATGAGGACACACAAGGAAGCAGTGGTCTCACCAGAACGCTGCCACACTGGCACCCTGATCTCGGACTTGAGCCTCAGACCGGGAGGAACGAATGTTTGTCGCTTATACCCTCCACCACTGAGACATCTGCCATCACCCCTTGGTCCCAAGCATTTCTCTGTCTGTGAGTCATTTCAGATGAATCTGGTCCTTTTCTGGGCCAAGAACAGAGCTCTCCCTGCAAACCGGGGTGTGGGCAGCAGTTCCACAGACGCTCACCATGCAGGGGGAGCGTGGCCATGTCCAGGGCGGCTTGCTCAGCTTCAAAATCCCTCACCTTTGGGTGTCCCAGCAGCACCCCTCCTGATGTCATCTGGCTTCACCGACAGCTCTGGGCAGTGCAACCTCACTCCGGATGTCCTTTCTCCTGTGTTCAGATCCAACCCCCAGCTGACGGCCCACGCCCTGACTCTCCGGATCGGGTCTCCCTGAGCATCCTCGCCTCCTGCCTCCTTGGGCTCTGGCAGCGGCACTGCCTTCCCTGTTTGCTTCCCGAGATACAAGCTTTTATTTTATTGTATAAAGAACACTGAGGTACCATCTGGGAGGGGACCTGGGACAGCGGATGTTCCACCTAGGGCCTGTCTCGGGGCCTCCAAGGTCCTGGGTTAGATTCCATCCTCCATCTGCATCAAGTGTCCCAGCTGTCACCTCTGAACCTCCTTCTGGAATGTTCTCTGCAGGTGCCTCTTACCCATGGAATAGATTATATCATTTATCCCAGAAACTCTGGGTTGAATTTCTCCAATGCAGACATTCTGCAGACTGCATTCTAACACGTCATTCGTTCTCAGCATAAGAAGAAAGGAGCTGCGTTTCACACGCAGCTTCCGAAGTGACCCCTTGACCCTTCCACACTGCGTCCACTACTTGCACACTCCTGAGTTGTTGGGGAAAGCCGGGGCTCCAGTGCGGCCGGCGCTGGGCAGTGGGCTTTAGGACTGTGTCCTCTGTCACAGTAAAGGGTTAAGTGTGCTAACCGCTTCTCATTTCCAACAGCATTTCTCAGGGACACAGATTTTCCACAGTCAGAAGAAAACCTTTCTAATTTAAACTGCTTCATAGCCTAGGTCTGACCAAAGGAGTTTATGATCAATATAAGTCATCTCTGTCTCTCTCTGTGCGTCTCTCTCAAATGGTCTTCCGCTGGGAAAAATATTGTTTTACTAATACAAACTATAAAGCAGACTTCCCTAACACATCTTCTTGGATAGAAGATTTGCAGATAATCAGCTCCTCAACTAGAGACATGGCCCCCAAGGGGACCACAGCAGCACCTCCCAAGGAGATAATATTTTTATTTCTGAATATTTTCTTTTCTGTAAGAGCCAGTATGGGTTTAAAACATGGTGAAAGGCTGATCTGGTGCACAGCCTGGCTCTAGGGCTGTTATGAACACCACACCAAACCTTCCTATTTTATTTTCCATGAAAAGTGATCCTTTCCACTCACAGTGGGAAGCAGGCTTTGAGGAGGCCTCGAGGAGGTCCCAGCCCATGGGCCACCACGCCCCTCACCCGCAGATGCACGGACTCCCGTTTCTGCCCCTTCTTCCTCTGCTTCACGTTGTCCGCTGTGAGCCAGTCTATGGAAGGGGGTCACAGGTCCATCATCTGAGCCCACACCCGCCTGGCCCTGGGCTCAGGAAAATGCTGCGGCTGTTCAGCACCCATGGACCCACTTCCTGGCTCCCTGAGCCCAGATCTTCCTCCAGGACCCCACGTCCCCTGGAGTTGAAACCTGTCACCCAGGGCTGAGCCAGCGGTGCATCGTCTCTGCAGCCGCAGTGACGCTGCTGGGACAAGGAGACGCAGGGACAGATGCAGCCTGGCAGCGGCCGGACACCTCCATGCCTGATGGCAGTGGTGTGCCACTCAGCAGGGATCCTGATGGAGGTTCACCCGTCCTGCCCAGCTGCCCTTCCAGAGGAGCCGTTTCCTCTTTTGTACAAAGTCTGCCCGCCTGTGCTCAGCAAATCCTTACTGATGAAGACGCAGGACGAGAATGGAGGAGGAGATGCCACCCCCACCACCAGCATCCTCCAGAGAAGCCCGTCCCTGCTGCAGGAGGGAAACGGGCTCGGCAACGTGGCGCCGCCTCACCATCACCCCCAGGAGCCCTGGAAGCCGTCCCTTGGCTCCCCGGTGACGGTGACCGTGAACGAGGGCTGTAACTCTGCCCACGGGACACCACCGTCTCGCCCCCGATGGAAGGTGTGCCGGCCGCGGAGCTCACGCTGGGGCCGAGGTCAGGGGCAGATGGGAAGACACAGAGACAGGAATGCGCGGTGACCGTGGCTGGTCAGTGACCCCTGACCTCTCGGAGCAGGTGGCGGGAGCTGGAGCACCTCGGGCCATCGGGCCCTGCCCAGGACCGGACCCTCAGGCTGCTGCGGCCCTGCTCCGCGGCCTCCTCCATCAGACCCCACCTGGGCCCCGAGCCAGCGGCTGCGGCGGGGACTCGGTGCCATGAGACACGGGGAGCGGGCTCCTGGCCTGGGCTCCGCTGTGAAGACACTGGTCCACATGGAAACGCAAGGCAGGGTTTCCAGTCTGCTGATGCACCAACAAGGGCCTGGTGACTTGGGCACAGATGCTTCAACTGGAAAAAAATCGCAGAACGGACTCAGACCTCCTGACGGAGCCGCCGGGAGCCCACAGATGCCGAGTGCTCGCACTGCCCCGTGCGCCAGACCCACGCGGGACGGGCAGCCTGGGCTGCACCGCTTTCCGTGGGCTTTTGTGCTTTCAAAAATAAGACAAAGGAGGTGGAGGGCACATTTAGCGACATGGTTCCATCGTAGACCTTGTGACAGGGGCATCGCCATGCAGTGATCCTGCCTCTTACACCCACATTCACAATAATTAACTGTTTGAGTAAGACTTTGATCTACACTGTAGTTAGCATCTCGTAGAATTTACGGACATTTTTAGCAACTGCGTGGTTCCATGTCTCGACAAAGCAGTGTGTGTTTTCATGCTTTTATCGTGAATTATATTAACTCCGATGTATGGTCTTTTCTCAGTAGAAAAGCACAGTCCCACAGCTGAAGCAACCTTTGCAGGGGATCTCCCTTCCGATCTCTAGGCTAACCGAGCACCCGTGTGACTAACGGAGGTGTGTGTGTGTCATGTCATGACTCAGTAACACGACACATTTGCTTCCTGAGGCACGAACGCCAATGAGATGCAGAGGGGGGCCTGAACCCTCCTATGGACAGAACAGAGAAGGGACAGAAGTCTGTGAGTCCAGGGGCAGCAGACCCCGGTGTCGCAGAGACCTGGGTTCGAGTCCTGCAGCCAGCACAGCCTCACTGTGGCACCCACGGTCTCTAGCCTCTGATTCCCAGGTACCAGGGCTATTATCTGTAGCTCATCCATTCTGTAGGTATCTACTGAGCCCCTACTCTATGCCATGTGCTGTGCATGTCATGATGAATAAAAGCAGGTGAGTGGACAGTCTCGTGAAAACAGAAACAGGAACGGAATGAGCTCATGAGGTATGTAAGTGTCACCAGGGAAACAGAGACAACGGTGACACCTACCTGGTCCGCAAAGGTCAGGGAAGGGTCCCTTGGGGAGTGACAGCAGAGCTGAGAAGGGGGGCCACCGGGAGCGGCCAGGAATGGGAGCAGGGGGGCACTCCAGGCAGAGGGAACAGCATATGCACAGGCCCTGTGGCTGGAGCAGGGGTGGAAGAGGAGGGGGCACAGGGGGGCTGAGACAGGCACGCTGGGCTTTGGGCCTGGCGGGGGGGGCTTTCTCTTATGCTGGTGTGAGAGGAGCAGGGGGGGGTCCCCAGCAGCTGAGGCAGATGACCAGATGTGCTTCTTTAAAAGGTCATTCAACCTGCCACAGGGAGTGCAGAGGGGGCGGGGGGCATCTGTGGAAGTCACGGGACCAGTCAGGAGGCTGTGCAGGCAGCAGGCCTCTGTTCCCTTGGGGTGGAGGCCATGGAGATGGGGAAAGCAGATGGATTCCAGGGAATCTAAGGGAATTTGGGCCATGAAATGAACAGGTTAGTGCTGGGTCAGATATGAGGAGGGAGACACAATACAAAGAATGAATAAGTCGACGGCCTGTGGTTCCACGTATTACATCAGAAACAGTGAGTTCTGGAATGGAGCTTACTCCTGGCTTGTGGACTGCGCTGCCCATGAGCCACCCAAATGCAGACATCAAGTAAACACCTGATTTATGAGTCTGGAGCTAGAAGACAGGAACATTCTGGACACATAAATTTGGGATCTGTCACTGTATGGACCATCTTGAAGGCCGGGGAATGAACACGGAGACAGGAGCCTGTGGGCATCTGTGTGGGACACCTAACACCCAGGCAGAGGAGGGGGAGCCTGGCAAGAAGACTGGGAAGGAGCACCGGGGGCAGGAAGAACCCCACTGGTGCAGGGTTGCAAAGCCACGTGTCAAGAGTGTACACAGAGGAAGTGGCCGGCAAGTGTCAAGTCTGCGGGGTGGCCCAGGGTTGCACCTGAAGATGGACTTCGTGATGCTGGGCCTTCCGTGGCCTGAGCAGGAAGTGTCTGTGCTGAGTGTGGGAAAGAACTGAAATGAGGCGAGTCTGCTGGTGAGGAGCAGGTGTGCAGCCGGGGAGACTTTCGACAGGGCCGGCGGGGAGAGGAGGGCCTGGCTCCGCGGACATGTGCGGCCACAGGCAGGGTTAGTGCATGGTCAGTGGGCGTACTGGACGGGGGTGAGGGGGGTATTTACCGCCAGGAAGTAGGGTCCAATCCAGTGGCTAGCAGGCCGGAAGGTGACACGACGACGAAGCAGGCAGGGCCACAGGTCTAGGAAAACAAGCCGCGTGCAGACGGAGTGGCCCTGCAGGCAGCTCTGGCCATGGGGATGCAGGCCCCATGCTGACAAATCCATGAAGTGTTTGTGGTTGTTTTTAAAGCTGGGAATCCTGCATTCTTAGCTGATTTTCAGTAGAAATGCCTACCTGCAAGCAGGCCTCACCGTGTAGCAGCTGCTGCGAGCACCCTGATAAAGGGGACGCAAGGACCCAGGCTTCTGTGTGGTTGACAGGAGGCGCTCAGGGCTCCCCGAGCTGCCCGTGCCAGTCGCTTCTCAGCGAACCACACCCCGATGTCAGGGTCACAAGACCCGGGACCCGCGCTGGATGGTCCGTGCGTACCCTCCGCCTCACTCACATGCCACTCTTGCAAGTCTTCCCCCAAGAGCCCCGAATGCTCTTCTGGATCCCTGGAAACACGTGCTCAATGTCAAAGTCACAGACACGGAGACACTGAGCAGGCTCATCAGCCAGGTGCCCCAGCTGGCCCAGGGGGGAGATTCGTCCGCTCCACAACACGTCTGCCTTGGGGCCCCAAGGAATCTGCCAGGAGGAGACAGCATTTTCCCGAGTCACACTTGTCCACCAGGAAAATCATCCTCTCACCACAGGAAACGTGTTCTTCGTGGCGTCACAGTCCTCCTGAAATACGGGAGGGCAAAATCACTGTGACTCCTATAGGAACCAAGACCTACCAGAACTTGTGTATTCCCTGGGGGCACGAGTTCAAACACAGCATTTCCAATCTCTGCAGAGCAAGTCATGGTCCCCCCACGGACTCCACCTCCGAGCTGCTCCACAGATGGTGATGGAAGCACAGCCCAGAGGTAACACACCCGAATCTGTGAATACACTGCCCTCCTCTCAGACTGGCTCAAGTAGATTCTGATTTGAACACTTGGGGTGCTGACTGGTACTCAGTTAGATGGTCTGAGAGGAGGAGACATGAAAACACAAGCCCTTTTCTTCTCTTTCTGATGAACTGCCACTCTTGGTGGGAACAGCAGGCTCATGGCTCATTACCCAAATGGAACTTGGCGGTGCTGGTTGGTTTGGCCCCATTTGTGTTAAATACACTATTGAGGCTGGAGGGTTTGAATACATTTCTGGCGCTGAAGTCTGGGAGCTCCTGCTGATGAGGAAAGACTGAAGAAAAAGTCTCTTTAATAAAAATTGCTATCTTGGGGCACCGGGTGGTGCAGCCAGTTAAGTGTCCAACTCTTGGTTTCGGCTCCGGTCGTGATCTTGGGGTTGTGGGGTCCGGCCCCATGCCGGGGTCTGCACTGAATGAGGAGTCTGCTTGAGATTCTCTCTCCTTCTCCCTCTGCCCCTCCTGCTCCTACGTGCGTGCTCTCTCTAAAATAAATACATCTTTAAAAAAAATAATTGCTGTCTCCCCTCCGGGTCTCCTGCACTGGAAACGGGAGATTCTACCTTAGCATTCCACTCTGCTAACTTCTCGTATGAACTTGCGGCAGCCTTGCAAGAGCTGCCTGACATCAGCGTGGGCCGTGTGTGCTGTTCACAAACAAAAGATGCCTACGGTCCCGGTGGCTGATCTACATTTTTAACCTACGGCAAAGTCTCACTATTTCTATTATGAAGTTTCCTGCTCCAGCACAATGAGAATTAAGAAGCTAACAAAGGAACTCCAATAAGCAACGGCTTGTAAATTCCTAAATTCACTGTGCCTGTCACTGCCACTAAAGAAAAGAAATGTAAGACTAACATAGAAGAATGTGTACATCCCTCCAAAACAACGGAATAAGCTCCTTTAACATTAACGTGACAATTTCCTGCCATCCCTCAAAATAAAACTCAGGATAATAAAAAGGGAATTTCAAATGAGGCACCAACATGACACCTAGATTCCAAAGTCCATTGGTGACTGACCACAAACGGCACATCCTGACATGTCTGTTTCAGAACCCACCAGATGCCTCGTCTGACCCCTGGCGGAGAGTGTGAGATGGGCTGTGGGCCCCTGAGGGAGGGTCTGGGAGGACACCCTCTCTGGGAAGTTCCACTAATACCCCCAGGGTGGGTAAGGGAGGGGCCCACTCACAAGCGTGGGAGGAGTAGCCTAGAACACACAGCTTTAGAAAGGACCCATGGAGATGGAGAACGGTGGCTGGAGTCCAGGGAAATTTTGGAAGTCATATCAACAGGTTAGTGATGGGTTATATAGGAGGGAACCTCACCCAAACTGAAAACTTCAGCTCTGTGTGAGCCCATGTGAAGAACATGAAAAGACAAGCTACAGACTGGAGAAACATTTGGGAAACCATATATCCAAGAAAGAAATAACAACCAAAAACATTAAAAACTCTCAGAGTTAACCAGTAAAATATGAACAATCCAGTTAGAGAATGGGCAAACCACATGAACAGATATTTCACCAAAGAGGACATACAGATGGCAAATAAACCCATGAAAAGATGTTCAGTATCACCAGCCATCAGGAAAATGCAAATAAAAATCACACACTATCAGAATGGCTAAAATAAAAACTAGCGAGCAACAACAGTAAATACTTAGGAGAAGGTGGGGAAACTGATCACTCATACATTGCTGGTGGGAACTCATAATGGGACAGCTGCTATGAAAATAGTTTGGCAGTTTCATATAAAACTAAACATGCAACAACCGTACCATTCAGAATTATGCTCTTGAGCACTTATCCCAGAGAAAAGAAATGTTCCTACAAAAACCTGCACATGGATGTTTCCAGCAGCTTTATTCACAATAGCCCCAAACCCGAGACAGCCCAGCTGTCCTTCGACAGGTGAATGGCTGAACAAACTGTGGTACGCCCAGGCCATGGAACACTGTGCAACAATGAAAAGGAGTAAATTGTTGACATAGGTAGAAATCTGGATGAATCTCCAGGAAATTATGCTCAAATGAGTATCCTGGGGAGGAAAGGTCCTCACGTACGGGTGGGCCCAGGGAGGCTGGAATAGGAGACTGCAGGGAGAATGACAGTCCTCACTTTCCCAAATTCAGTCAGCAATTCATGACTGAATCAAAAGCTCTGGTCTTCTCTGAGATGGGGACAGAAGGGTGACTGTTGTGGAGACAAAAAGCATGCACACTATGCACCATGCATAGATAAAGTGTCTAGCATGTGGCAGGACCTTAATAATCATTAGTGGGACAGACGGGATGGAGTGGTGGAATGGGTGGGATAGAATGGAGTGGGTGGGATGGAGTGGGTGGAGTGGAGTGGAGTAGATACAGTGGAGGGAGTTGATGGAGTGGGTAGAGTGGGTAGAATGGGTGGGATGGAACAAAATGAATGTATGAATGGAATGGAATTGAAAGTCCTTGCAAGGATTCTTCTTTAACCTCTCTTATGTCTACCAGACATGTTTGGCTTCTCCTCAGTAATTATCTTGGGAAGATCACGACCCTGGGGTCAACAAGCATTTCATGAACACCCATGAACTATGGCCACAGTGACAGCAGATATTAAAAAATCACACAATTTTTGTGAGGACGTTTCTCACTAAATCAGGCAGGAGGAAACTTTTTAAAAACTGAGCAGACTGTTTGCATCTCCCTTATCAATCCTTGGGCATGTTCATCTGCTGAAAAAGAGATTTAAAGCTTTAATGCAACAGGGCAAATCTTATTGTTCTATTCTACACTCTCAAGAGTGTCTCTCTCCAGCAGAAAGCATGGATCATCAAACAAGATAACCAAGAACTGGCCAATTTATCCCCAGTCCTCCCGGAAAGCACAGTCTCCCACCCCCTAAAACACATCTTTTCTTTCATAGACACATTCCTGGTTGCTGTGCTGCCATATGCAATCTTCAACGTGGCCTCTTTTACTCCATAATACCTGGAGGACCACCCTCGTTGCCACTGGAGGGGCATTTCTGCTACAGAAGGAGAAAAGGAAGGACCTCCTGGAGGAGAAGAGTGCTGGTTCAGCCCACCAGCACCACCATCGAAGACTCTTCTCATGATCACACAAACAACTGTCCTAAAAGCAAAACCAAATCAAAGAAGAGAAAGTCACCTGTCGGCGCCCAAGATGGATGGTGGTGAGGGAGCCGCCTAATACACTCTGGGGGAGCGGGTGGTAATGGCTCCTCCAGGGAAATGTGGTAACTGGTTGCAGGCATCACACAGTCTTTGAAATTCACTGCCTCAGCAATCCTTGAAAATAAAAGGGACATTATTACAAAATGGCAAAGGAGGGCATTCAGCTAGAAAATGGGTTTAAAACTTAATATTAAACTTGAAGTTATTGCGCCAGTGATCCTTTTGGGTGAAATTTTCAATTCTATTATCGAAAACTACTCTATTTAAGACTCTGTTCTGGCACCTACAGGGGACATCAAGAAAGATGAAATATAATCCCTTAGCCACAAATAACAGAGGATTTTGTGAAGGCCCAGCAGAATGGCCCAGGATGCTGTCAGACAACAGAGTCCACACAACTGGGACAGAATCTCATCCATCCCTCACCATCAGCTGTGTGACCAAGGGGGGCCACTTACGCTATCTGAACTTCAACTTTCCTAATTATAAAATGGTGTGATAAATGGTAGTATGGTGGTGCAGGGGAGGACTAAAAAACCTTTTCACCACTACACCTCCCAGCTTCAGCGACTAGGCCATGGGAACTAGACTGGCCGGAGAGATCAACAGGAGGAACACAAACAGGAGCTTTTTAACCCATCCATCAGAGCACTCATCGATGAGTACTTCCAAATGGCACTTAGTAGTGGGGCTTATCTAGCATCTAAACTAAAAGAACAACGAGCTTTTAGAGAAATGACAAGACATAGGAAGAGGTTTGTGTTTCTGGGGCAGCAAATCGTGGGAAGGTAAACACATGGGGGAACATGAAAGACAAGTCCGGTCTGTGACATGTGACGTGTGGACGCCTCTGGTTGTGTGCCCTGGCTGCCAGGGTGCACGTCTGTCTCTGGTGGTTCACTCTCGTTCCTCCTAGCTGAAAGGGAGGGAAGACGCCTCTGCCAGGTCATATCCTGAGTTTAGGCAAACAGATGCAGGGCAGAGGGCTTCTCTGTGTATCTGCTTCTTCACAACTTCCCATCATGCCTTCAGCCCGCAATAATCCTCACGTGCAGGGGGCACATTTCACTCCCTGCAAGGGACCTCTGCTGTCCCACCGCCCAGCTGCCCTTTGCCCCTCTCCTGAGAAAGGCCCTCGGTTTCCTCCAGGTGACCACCCCCTTCCACACTTGCAGCCCATGTGATCTGAAGTGGACTCCATCCAGGGCTCGGCAGTAAGCCCCATGGTCCAGGCCTGAGTAAGAGTGCACGGCCTTCCTTGTGCCACCGTGATTGTTCAGGGGCGAGCCCATGACCCAGGCAAGTCCAGGAAGGTTCAAGAACATCCGGGTGGAATGCTGGTTCAGAGGCTCGCTTCTCTCTGCTGGACACCAGCCCTGAGGCAGAAGGCCCCGAGAGTGGCTCTCGTACTTGAGGAGACAGACAGAGAAGGTCGCCCGCTGGTGGGGGAGCGGAGAGACTTTGCAGAGCCGGTCAGCTGGACTCTGGAGGAGCTGCTGCTAAAGCTCGTGGCTCCACGGGCCTTCCCGAGTACATGTGCCAAAAAATAACTCTGCCTTTGCTTCAGGCACTTCAGGTTGGGTTGTCTGTCATTTACAATTCAATTAAAACACCCTGCCCAGTCCGTAAAGTAGTTGTCTCCTGGAAATCTGACGCAGAATTGAGCTGTTGCTGCCTCGGTATACAGCAGGTGTTCAATAAATGATGACTGTACAACGTCCCTGCCACAGGGCATCATTTAACCCCTAAATGGGTCACTCAGCCGTATGCCCACTTCTTGCCTCCCGTGGGCCCCGTGGGCCTCCAGCTCAGCGGGCCCAGCACTGACTGAGCCTTGCGCCCTGTCACCATCACCATCACCTTGTGGGTGAGCCCCGCCCCCAGCCCCGAACAAGGCCCTAGATTTCCCTCCTTCGCCGACTGGTTTTCTCTAGCTTGGGACAGCCAGATCCCTGGGCCAGCCCCGGGAGACTGCTGGCACCCAGTGGGGGGACCCACGAGGCACGCGCCCCTGCCCCAGCACGACCTTGGGGCTCCTCACCCGCGTCCTGGACCAAGAGCAGGACTCCGGGAGGTGTGGGGGCGTCCCCCAGGGGGGACAGCTGGAGCCTGCTGGCTTCTCTGTCATTGGGAGATGGCACCGGGCTGGGGCAGGCTGAACCCAGGGCAGCGGGCATGCGAAGCCCCTCCCCCGGCCTCAGAGCGCCCTGGGAGGCGGTGGAGACACCCAAAGCCACTGAATATGCACCGAACACGGGCCTGAGGATTAAACCCGACCAAGAGCCACTTTTCCCCAGAGGCCGGCCCCCCGCCCTCCACTCTGCACTTGCCCCAGACAGGGAACCGCCGCTCCCCTGCTCCCGCCTGGAAAAGGAGACTCAGGTGGTGACCTGCGACCCGCAGGCTGGGGCGGAGCAAGCCCAGCACGGTGACAGTCCTCAACGAGTCCACAGAAACCCTCCGGTCAGGCCAGCTGCGTGCTTCCGATGCACGAAACACGCCTGTCGTGTGCTTGCCGCGTTCCCGCTCTCAAACACGACAACATGCTGCACTTGCTGTGTTTATCACGGGCTGTCCTCACGACCGCCCCAGGACGCGGGCCGCGTCACCACCTGCTTCCCAGACGGGGAGCTGACCACAGAGGTCGCACAGAGGAGCTGCAGAGGAAGCTCCCGGCACCCAGGCCAAGGCGCTCCAGAACCTTCGGCATGGAGACCAGGGGCCCCCGCGAGGCTCACGGTCAGCAGCCAGTCCCAGCCGCCGCCGGGCCTGGCAGCCCCGGGTCGAAGTGGGAGCCCGGACGATGGACGGAGCCGGGACGCCCGGGGCGCTGTGAGGAGGGCACCCCACGGGCCGTGCCGGACCTGGCACAGGGAGAGCGTACGTCAGTGCGGAGCCTCCGGAAGGTGGCGGCTCTCGGTCACGGCAGCCACGGGGGGAGAGAGCTAGCGGGGGAGAGCTTCCTGGATCGCACCCCATGCGCCACACAGACGCCAGTGGGGACACTCCTCAGGAGGCAGCGGGGGGGGGGGGTCCCAGCCTCCCGCCACCCTCCTGCGCGCCGCTGCCACGTGGGCATCTTCATACCCACACTCACCTGGCTTCACGTGGAGTCCCTCCGGACGTCTGGCCCTGCCCTGTCCCCATGTCCTTCCCCCACTCCGCTGCCTGTCCCCGTGTCCTTCCCCCCGCTCCCCTGCCTGCCCTGTCCCCGTGTCCTTCCTGCCACTCCCGCCTGCCCTGCCCTGTGTCCTTCCCCCCACTCCCCTGCCTGTCCTGTCCCCGTGTCCATCACCCCCACTCCCCTGCCTGCCCCGTGTCCTTCCCCCCACTCCCCTGCCTGCCCTGCCCTGTGTCCTTCCCCCGCTCCCCTGCCTGCCCTGTCCCCGTGTCCTTCCCCCCGCTCCCCTGCCTGCCCTGCCCTGTCCCCACGTCCTTCCCCCCCGCTCCCCTGCCTGCCCCGTGTCCTTCCCCCCACTCCCCTGCCTGCCCTGCCCTGTGTCCTTCCCCCGCTCCCCTGCCTGCCCTGTCCCCGTGTCCTTCCCCCCGCTCCCCTGCCTGCCCTGCCCTGTCCCCGTGTCCTTCCCCCCACTCCGCTGCCTGTCCTGTCCCCGTGTCCTTCCCCCCACCCCCCTGCCTGCCCCACGTCCTTCCCCCGCTCCCCTGCCTGTCCTGTCCCCGTGTCCATCACCCCCACTCCCCTGCCTGCCCCACGTCCTTCCCCCCCGCTCCCCTGCCTGCCCTGTCCCCGTGTCCATCACCCCCACTCCCCTGCCTGCCCCGTGTCCTTCCCCCCACTCCCCTGCCTGCCCTGTCCCCGTGTCCTTCCCCCCGCTCCCCTGCCTGCCCTGCCCTGTCCCCACGTCCTTCCCCCCCACCCCCCTGCCTGCCCCACGTCCTTCCCCCGCTCCCCTGCCTGTCCTGTCCCCGTGTCCATCACCCCCACTCCCCTGCCTGCCCCACGTCCTTCCCCCCCGCTCCCCTGCCTGCCCTGTCCCCGTGTCCATCACCCCCACTCCCCTGCCTGCCCCGTGTCCTTCCCCCCGCTCCCCTGCCTGCCCTGCCCTGTCCCCACGTCCTTCCCCCCCACCCCCCTGCCTGCCCCACGTCCTTCCCCCGCTCCCCTGCCTGTCCTGTCCCCGTGTCCATCACCCCCACTCCCCTGCCTGCCCCACGTCCTTCCCCCCCGCTCCCCTGCCTGCCCTGTCCCCGTGTCCATCACCCCCACTCCCCTGCCTGCCCCGTGTCCTTCCCCCCGCTCCCCTGCCTGCCCTGCCCTGTCCCCACGTCCTTCCCCCCCACCCCCCTGCCTGCCCCACGTCCTTCCCCCGCTCCCCTGCCTGTCCTGTCCCCGTGTCCATCACCCCCACTCCCCTGCCTGCCCCACGTCCTTCCCCCCCGCTCCCCTGCCTGCCCTGTCCCCGTGTCCATCACCCCCACTCCCCTGCCTGCCCCGTGTCCTTCCCCCCGCTCCCCTGCCTGCCCTGCCCTGTCCCCACGTCCTTCCCCCCCACCCCCCTGCCTGCCCCACGTCCTTCCCCCGCTCCCCTGCCTGTCCTGTCCCCGTGTCCATCACCCCCACTCCCCTGCCTGCCCCACGTCCTTCCCCCCCGCTCCCCTGCCTGCCCTGTCCCCGTGTCCATCACCCCCACTCCCCTGCCTGCCCCGTGTCCTTCCCCCCGCTCCCCTGCCTGCCCTGCCCTGTCCCCACGTCCTTCCCCCCCACCCCCCTGCCTGCCCCACGTCCTTCCCCCGCTCCCCTGCCTGTCCTGTCCCCGTGTCCATCACCCCCACCCCCCCCACACACGGACTCTCCCGCTGGCTCTGCCTCTCCCCGGTTCTCGCCCCCACCCGACCCTCCACGGCCCCGCATGTGCGGCTCAGGCTCTGTGTTCCATCTGCTACCACTGCATCCAACCGGTCTCCACAGGCCTGAGGAGACACTGCCCACACAGTAATGAACCACAGGCCCAGGAGCGCGTGGCTCTGGGGCCGGCCTCACGGAGCGGCCCAGAGCGGCCCCTGCGGCAGAAGGTGCACTTCCGGAACATTCTTTTCACCGTGCGCGGGCTCCGGAAACGCTCGCTGCGGGAAGCCCGGAAGCGCTCGCGCAGGCGCAGCCTTGGCCCTGTCCATCGCTTCTTATGATTGGCCGATCCGTCGTGCCAATCCTGCTCCGCTTGGCCAGTGATTGGTCTGGGCGGTCACGTGGCCCAGCTCTGCCCAACGAGCTGCGTGCGAGGGGCTGTCTGCAGGGGGAACCCGGGGAAGAGTCTCCGGTGAGGGAGCGGGGGTCGCCGGGCGGGGCGGGCGGCTGGGGTGCCGGTGGCAGCCTGAGGCGGGCTGGGACCGAGGCGAGCGGGAGGAGGCGGACCCCGCCGCCGGCCTCGGAGCGCGCGCTGCGGTGGAATCCCGCGACCTGCAGGCGCCCGCGTCTGGGCCTCGGCTGGCGAGGGTTTCCCCCGAGTCAGCGATGGGGAAGCCGAGGCCGGCGGCGGTGCAGTAGCTGCGCAAGCCGCGGCCTTTCGGATTCCAGCCCCAGGGCCGCTGCGGCTCGGGCAGCTCGCCTGAGCCTCTGGAAGTCGGGCACCCCGCATGCCGGCGCCTCGTACGTTCCCCGAGGGAGCGGATGACGTCCGGGCTGCCTGTGTCTCGGCGCCCCTGCGCGGGGGAGCTAACGGCCACCCGCCGCGAAGGGCGTGGGGAACACCTGGGTTGTCGTGTGTCTTGCGCTCTGGGTCCGGCAAGGAACACCGGGATGAGAAGGCGCTTGGAGAGTTCCTGACCCTGCTCTGCCGCGCGGGGGCCCGTGTAATCGCTGTGTGCCTCCTGAGGTTTGGGACGCGCGCCCCCGGGACCCCCTCCTGAGCCTGCCAGAGAATCACCGTCACCGCTGCTGGGGGGGGGCAGGGTGAAGGGCTCACGCAACGGTCGGGGCAGAGCCGCCCGCAGCGCTGCCCGTGCAGGTGATGCCGCGTGTGGCTGAGCCCGGCCATGTCCTGCAGACAGAGCTTGGCACCTCCTTCCAAGTTGCTGAAACCGTGGGCTGTCAGAAATGTGATCAAAAAACCCAAAAGATGGGTTTGTTTGAGAGCGAGCGGGCACATGAGCGTGAGCACGGGGAGGAGCCGCGGCGGGGGAGAGACTCTCAAGCGGACTCCCTGCCCGGGGCTCCATCCCACGACCCTGAGGTCAGGACCCTGCGACCATAGCCGGAGCCAAAATCAGAGTCCGATGCTTAACCGACCGAGCCACCCAGGTGCCCAGAACGGTGGGACTTATCTGGGGCTTCGGATCGTACAAACGCAAATGGCGTCCTGGTCTCAAAGGAACCACTCTGAATCCTAGGCAACAGGATACCGGAGATTGATCCTTTTCCTCCCGCAGGACACTCTCTCTAGTCCTTCGGTCGATTCTGTGGAAGGGAACGAGCTCCACTGTTCACAGTGGAATATCAAAGGCTGTGATGAACACACGCTGTTTTCATCTGCATGAGCTGTGTTTCCTCCTTGAGACCAGCCTACCTGACGTTCTTTGGGGAGTCCCCTCCCTTCCACATGTTTTGGCTGAGCCTGACCCTGCTGCCATTTCAGCCAAGTGTCTTGTGACTCTGGCTTAGGTCTGTCCGCTTATTGTACACCTTGTCCCGCCTCTGTCTTCCCAGTCACGGGTTGGCTCCTGGGAGACACATCGACCACCTTTGCCGAGAAAATCAGGCCTCAGCCCTTGGTGGCAGCTGTTGGCGTAGAGGAACTTTCTGGTGCTGAAGTTGTTGAGAGGTGGAGATGTAACTGTGGCGCATCTAGGAGGCATCTGGCCTCCACAAAGAGATCGCCCACCCGATGACACAGCTGACGGGACCAAGGAGAGTCTAAATATGAGGCCTCCTTGGTAATGTCATTGGAGCCCATGGATTGAGCCATCCCTAAGTGACTTCTCCCCTACTCCTCTCCTCTTGTCTAAGTCCTTCTGGAAATGGGCTTCTGTCATTTGAAATCAGAAGAGCTGTGACTCCATGTCCAGTGAGGGACTCAAGGTCCGGACCCAAACCTTTCACCTCCTAGCCCTGAACTTCACCTGTTGTTCTGGATGTCAGTTTAGCAGACTTCTTGGCAGATGATTGCATATGGGAATTCATAAGCAGTAGCAGTTCTTCAAGAAGAGAACATGTACTGTTTGCCAACAAAATGAATGGAAGTGGGCACGGAAGTAATGAACTGACAGAGCAACAAGCCCTCCTTCAGCTCTGGAACCTCTGTTGGGGCCTGACGAGCACTGTTCCCTCAGACTCCGTGTAAGCCTACCCTGCTGATGGGGGAACTCCCAGCGGGAGACATGAAGAGTGACTTCCCATGTCCTGTCCCCCCATCCCACCATCCCAGGGCTTATCCTGGCAGGAGGGCATCTGAAACTAGGGCCACCTGCTGGCAGCCCCAGCTCTGAACCGCCGCTCTGTGCTGAGCAGGAAGGGGTGTCCTTGAACTTCTCTGAGGGCCCATCAGAGTCTGGCACGCAGGAAGCATGTGGTAAAATTCTTGATCAAATTTGTTCGAATGCACTAATGAACCCAGGGTAATTGCTACCCCCAAGCTTTCTATAATTATCCATCATGCACACCTCAAAACCCCATAACGATCAGCAAGAGAATACTCATCTCAGTGTGTCTCTGCTAAGTTGCCAATTCCTCCATCTTAGGGAACAGGTGCTCTAGAGAAATGGCCGTATTTATGAGGTTCATTAGGATGCCTCACAGCTGCAGCACAGACAGCCACCTCAGGAGAGTGTGGAGTGAGAAATGCTGGGAAGGGCGGTGGACAGAAGGAGCCTTGTCCTCCCAGAGACGGGCGGAGCTGGTCTGAGCCCAACCTCGCATGCCCATTGACCAACGGCGGCTGTGAAGTTCATTGCAATCTCTTCCAGGGTGAGGGCCCGTTTCCAGATGAACCTGCCAAAAGCTCCATCCTCATAGCGCTTTGTCTTGTCCTGCTCAGACCCTATAATGAGGTTGATGCTGGGCTCCCCGTAGACATGTGACACTTGGCCACTTGGGTCAGAGGTGCTCAGGGACCCACTGACATGGACTCTCAGACAAACTGGAGGAGTTAGGGGATTTCTCTGTGACCAGCACGTGACTCCAGCGAGGGCTGGGAAAGAGCAAAATCCCTGTTCTGAGGATGTGGGACCTGCTCCCCATGCAGTCTTG